TGGAGGATTTTTTCCTCTCCTCAATTTTCTAGAAACTTTCCTTAACTGATAAATTTTAAATAATCACCTCAGGGCAGTTCTCTCCAATAATTTTCACAATTCCTGATGCCAGCCAATATCTTGACAGTACTCCTTGTACATTATTTGAATTTAGCACTGTTAGAAGCAAACATACCACCATAAGTACCATCATGATTGTAACTGCTGTTTCACTTTACTTACAAGGTCTTTATAGGAGAGTTTACAAAGATTGAACAAGGCAGTTATACAATGTAAAACTTTTTGATAAGGGTACCAGTAGCACTATGAAAGCTCAATAACTTTTGAAACAAATATTGAATGAATTAGTGGATAAAGGTAATTTTAATTAGTTTCGCTTCCAAAAAAAAGTTCTCCTTGCTTAGCATTGTAACACAATATCCACATAAATGATTTTGGAAGCAATTTGGAATAAGGAAGAATGAGAAAAACTTTAAAATTGAAAAGATTCATTCGACAACCTTTTACATGCACATTCATGTAATTTCTCTTTTGGGTTTGCATGAAATCCATCAGTGCTTGTGTAATCCAAATTACACAAGAAGCCATGCAAGAAACTGTGAATATGCACTTAATCTGAACTATCTGTACCCTCAACAAAATTCAACTTCACCTGATATATTCATTTTTCGCTATGTAAGGAGATTTGGCGAGGGAAATTATCCACACACACACACACACACACACACACACACACACACACACACACAGACACACACACACATGTGACATTTTAAAATACATGTGACATTTTAAAATATAAGTAGCTATACATTATAATTTAGAACAAATATGGTGAGGCTTGAATTTGATGGAACAGTTAATTCTCCGAATGTTTCATTAAGAATTACCAGATGTTCAGATGTCATTTACAGCACTTTTCAATGCAACCCTTTAGATAAGACCTAACCTTAACCCTAAGCAAGCACACTTATAACATACCTTCATCGTGAAACAAATCAGAGAGGTCGAGTGCTTTTGCCATATTATCATAACGTTTACTGAGACACTCCTACATTGTATGAAACAGTTGAAGAAAAGATGATTCAGCAGTTAGCGACTTAATAAATAAACTTAGGAATTAATCTTTTAAACATGTCAGTGTGCTAATAAGTTGTATAGGATTAGTTCTATTGTCCAATTTCAAATAGTATTTGCAGAGCCCAACAATGTATTAACTGTTTGCTCTCAGTCACAAGATCATGGATACATGTTCACTCAAGTGCAAAAAATTTTGACCATTAAAAATCATGAACCATGATCAATTCAGTGATACCCAAGGTCTTTATAGGTATTGTTTGCAAATGATTTTATATTTTCACAGTTCACTTTTCTCATTCTTGTGAGAAAATCTTTAGTTACAATTACCCTTCTCTTACAGGAAAGCATTACCAGTAATAGCTTGTATCTTATTTTGGTTAACTGACACCCATAAAACCATTTGGAATTGCATTGTGCAAAACCTGCATAAATGGTGTAATTTCTAAACCTGATAGACAAGAAAGGACTTCCATTTGAAGTATTGCTCATGAATGAATATTGTCAATTTAAATGATGCCATTGCTTCAGAGAACCAACATTCCAAATTCCAATTAGATCTGGAAACAGTGGACAGGAAGAGCCACCCAGTGGAATTTCCATTGCTAAATTATTTAATTATTATTATTTATGATGTTGACAACAAGAATAGTGATGATGAAAATGATGGTGATGATTAATGCAAACTATAATTATGTATAAATTACTCACCCTCAATACTTGTTTTGTGGCATCATCTAATGAATCACCACCTCTACTACTGCCATCATGAACTTCACGAACAGGAAAATTATTGGTTTGGTTTTGGGGTGGGGGACTCGGACGAACACTCACTATCAGCTAAAAGTGATAAACAGATTACAGAAAATGGTTTAATTGCAGAAGTATCATTTGGTTGATGGTACATGTATAACATTCTCAGCTGATTATAGCTGTAACAGCAGTCTAAAAAAGGAATGTTATCAT